ATGCTTATTAAGGCATAAAATTAGGTGAACAAATTGCTTCGTAGATAGTGTTAGGCTCATTGCGAGATGGGCAAAGGAAGTGGAAGGAAGCGCTTCGAAAACATGCTTTTTATTATTTTAATTACGTGTGTAGGATTCAGGGTAGCTGCTGTCTGTTAGCCAGAAACATTTGCCAGCTTGTGTCATCATGGGGGTGACTGTCATAAGTTGAATGCAAACATGTTTTCCCTTTTTTTACCTGACAGCAGTCAATTTTACTAAGTCCTATTCATTTTCACCTGAATGCGAGGTCTGCCCTTGCAGATAAGGAGGCTTATTTATTGCAGATGTGAGGATGCTGATTAAGTTCACATCAAGAACCAAAACTGTAACTGGGAGACCGAGCCTGGGAGAAACTGTACCACCAAAGCTCTCTCTCTTTGAAAACAAGAATTCTTGGGTGTCTGCCTGAATTTTCTCTGTAATTGCCGACGCCTTGCATGGGTTCCTTAAGTTACCTGAAGAAAATGGGGGCGTATTGTTGTTTTACTGAAAGCAAAAATCAGATTTTTCTGAGATAACGTTCTTCAAAAAGGGAGAAAGGCTTACTTATTTATGGAAACATGCATTTTGTTGGCAACATAGCTGTTCAATTCCTGTTAGATTCACTCCTTCTGAAATTATCCTAAATAATTTCTTCTAGCAATGATAGTGTTACGAATCAGTGGGTGGACCCAGGCCATTACCCTGCTTAAGTGGAAATTGGGAAGAAAACAGACATAGGGGAATATTAGATCAACGACTGACTGGATCCTTTAAGCGGAGCATAAAGGGAAGCGGCCTCATGGCCATTTTTTCAGGGGCCTCACTTATATTTTTAAATTTTAAATAAAAAATTGTTTTTACTTTTGGATCACACTCTGAGGCATTTAGGCTTACTCCTGGTTCTGTGCACTGGGGCCCATAAGTGTGAGGGGGTTAGAGCATGAGTTGGCCACATACGAGGCAAGTGCTTTAAGTCCTGTGCTAGCTCTAGACATTGGCTTCATTTTTAAGTTGCACTAGCAGTAAGATCCTCCCTCTCACGTGTGACAGAGCATATGTCTTGGCAGTGTCTTGCCACATACATGGAGTACAATGCCCTGACACGGTTCACATGTTTCCTTTGCATCCTTTGAATCTCTATCCTGTCTTGGGTGTGACTTTATATATACGATAGCACAGCGGTAGGGCGTTCGCCTTACAAGCAGCCAACATGGCTGACCCGAGTTCGATTCCTCCGCCCCTCTCGGAGAGCCCGGCAAGCTACCGAGAGTATCTCGCCTGCACAGCAGAGCTTGGCAAGCTCCCCGTGACGTATTCGATATGCCAGACACAGTAACAACAAAGTCTCTAATGGAGATGTTACTGGGCCCGCTCGAGCAAATTAAAATTATTATTTTATTTTTTAGGCCACACCTCAGGGGTTATTCCAGACAGTGCTCAGAGGACAATATGGGATCCCAGGGATCGAACTAGGATCTGCTGTCATGCAAAGCAAGCGTGCTTTACCAGGCATGCTATTTCTCCAGCCCATGGGTGTGACTTTTCGTATTAAAATGAGGGAAATTCACTGATGAGACAGCCCTGGAGGTTATCTTGGCTTTAGCTAGTTAAGCACCTTCTCCTTCTCCTTTCTTTTTTTTTTGTTTTTGGCCATGCCTGGTGACACCTGGTTTACTCCTGGTTCTTTGCTGGGGAATCACACCTAGCAGGGTCTGGGGAACCATATGGGGTGGGAGGGATTGAACCTGGATCTGATGCCTGCAGGGCAAGAGCCTTACTTGCTGTCCTACCTCTAGCAGATGGTCCTCTCACCCTCATAACTTCTTCCTTCCTTTTTACTTTGCAACATCCGCAAGTACTCAAGGACTAATCTTTAGCTTGGGGGTCTCTTTTGGTAGTGTACAAGGGACCCTATGGTGCTGGGGAAGTAAGTGGGGTCTCTTGCATGAGAAGCCTGCACTCAACTTATTTTTTTTTTAAATAATTTTTTACACTCAGCTTCTTGAATTCTCCTATCTTCTTCTGCCACCCGTTTATTTTTTTTTAGTGTTTGACATTAAAATTCTGTGATTTGCAATACTTTATTTAAATATTTATTAGTGAAACACCGTGAGGTACAATTGTCACTGTCTCTGTCCTCCCGTTGTTCATCAATTTGCTCGAGCGGGCCCAGTAATGTCTCCATTTTGAGACTTGTTGTTACTGTGTTTGGCATATTGAATACATCACGGGGAGCTTGCCAGGCTTTGCCATCCAGGCAAGATACCCTCGGTAGCTTGCTGGGCTCTCTGGGCTCTCAAAGAGGGGAGGAGGAATCGAACCCGGCTTGACCGGGCTGGCTGCGCAAGGCAAATGCCCTACCGCTGTGCTATCGCTCCAGCCAAAGGTATGATTTTTTAAGGGTAAAAAGGTAAAGGCCCTCCTGTTGATCATCGATTTGCTCAAGCGGGTCCAGTAACGTCTCCATTGGAGACTTTGTTGTTACTGTGTCTGGCATATCGAATAGTCACGGGGAGATTGCCAGGCTCTGCCGTGCCAGCGGTAGCTTGCCGGGCTCTCCTAGAGGGGTGGAGGAATCAAACTCGGGTCGGCCATGTTGGCTGCGTGCAAGGCAAACGCCCTACCGCTGTGCTATCGCTCCAGCCCCATGATTTTTAAAAACAATTCAAAATAAGAACAAATTTTAATTTATTTTGGGCCACAGCTGGCGATTGCCTTATAGGGCTTCTTCCTGGCTCTGTGCTCAGGAATCACTCCCAGCAGAGCGCAAGGATGCTGGGGGTTGAGGGATTGAACCCAGTTTAGCTGGGTGCAAGTCAAGTACCTTACCCATTTTACTATTTCTCTGCCCCCCTTTTTTAAACAATAATAAATAATACCATTAATTAGATGTGCTCAGGAAGCAATTGGGTTTCATTTTATGTTGTTTTCTTCAATGCCCATTTTTTTTTTGGTTTCGGGGAGTTATGTGATGACTTGAATAGGACTTTAAATTTAAAAGTGAGAGAAAAAGAAAATTGAATCAACTAAGCTCTGAAGAAGCTGATTCATCGTGCCCAACACCTTTCTTTCTAATATAGCCTCGGCAGGTATCAGGAAGGGCGCTGTGTGGTTGTTTATAGAATTGAAAACAGGAAAGGAGGGAAGCTTTGTTGATAAGAATCCCACCTGCTCAAAATAACTTTTTTTTTTTTCAAATTTGCCACAGTTGGTGGTGCTGGGACAGGGACCATGTGAGGAGAGCAAGGCCGTTTTCATGCTAAGCATCCACACTAGCTCTTTTCTTATTAGCTTCAAAATAATCTTTAGGGGTGAGTGTTGGCATCCCTGTAAAAGGTCCACATCTCACTCAGCTCACTGCGGGGGGTGAGTGGGAGAGAAGGCAGCGATCTTAGGAGACAATGAGAATACATCAAGAGGCTTGGGGGGGGGGGGAGAGCTCTGGCTTCCATGGGGCCCCGAGAGTGGTGGAGCAGCGCTGGCCACATGGCCAGCAGGGACCACGTCTGGATGCAGGAGTCTAACTCTTCAGTACAATGCACTGCCACTCTCCACTTGGGTGGGGGAGAGTGGGGGAGGTGGCTGCGGAGCACTTCCTCTAGGCTGACGTTTCCTCCATTCCTTGTCTGAAAAAGCAGAAAAGTTAAAACATCAAGATCTTTTTCTTCCAACAATGCAAAACTTGTAGGTTCGCAAAGTGAAGTTTCGGGGGAATTAAAAAAAAAACACCAAAAAAACCCCAAGAGCGCATTTAGCGAGGAAATAAGTGTAGGTCTTGCCTTGCACATTGGGGGGAAGTGGTGAGCCTTCCACATTTGGGATCTCCGCGCCTCGGCTGGATTTTAGGCAACCCCCATCCCGACCCGGTCCCCCTCAGCGCCCGGCACCTCCCGCGGCAGCCTTCAGCCTTCCCTAGGGCGGTGGGGGCGCTGGACCGCTGGGCGCCGCGCGGAATCCAAGTGTGCGTGGCACACAGTAGGCGCTTCGTGCTGGACGCTGCGAGAACGTCTCGGGGTTGTCCAGCCCCGGGGATGGGGGGAGTTCAGGGAGGAGCCGTGGTCGCCTCGGCCCCCAGTTCCCAGGAGCCGCGGCTGCGGGTCCCGTCGAGGTGCGCGCGCCTTGCGGGGTGCAGGTGAGCTCGCGGGAGACGTTCGGGGGGCCGCCCCCCTCTCCCCGGCTTCGCCGGGGGGCCGTCGGCTGCAAGGATCCCCCCCTCCTACCCCCTCCCCGCCACCCCGGCGGCCCCCCGCGCGCCCCGCCGAGCCGCCGACTCCTCCCCTGGAAACTCCTCGGGGGGCTGGGGCCGGCTCCGGCGCATGCTCCGTACCTCGGGCAGGTTTCTGCGGCGGGCAGCGGGGCTCCTGTCACACCGGCGGGCGGCGGGTGGCCGTGCCGGCCCGTGCGTGCCAGGGTGCCCGCGTGCCCGCGCCGCTCGCTCGCTCCCTGCGCCGCACCCCGGCCCGGGCGCCGCCGGCGCCGCGGCTCGGGCTGCAAAGTTGGCGGCGGGCGCGGGCAGAGGCTCGGGGCGCGCGTGCGGGGCCGCGCCGCGCCTCTCGCCCTTGGCCGGCGCCCGGCGCAGCCTTCCGCGGCCCGGGGCAGCGGCAGCTCCGCGGGGACCCGAGGCGCGCCCGGCTGCCCGCCGCCGTCCGCCGCTGCCGCCGCCGCCGCCGCCGCCGCCTCTGCTGCTCGGAGCGGCCTGAGCGCGCGTCCGCCGCGCCCCGCGCCCCGCCAGCCCCGGAGCCGCAGCCGCCCCGCGCGCCCCGCGCGCCCCGCGCGCCCGCGGCCCGAGGCCCGGCCGCCAGCCGCACGTCCCGGCGGCGGGGGCATGGAGGAGCGGCGGGCTCCGAGCCGCGCCCCGGAGTCCCCGAAACTTCCGAGCGGGAGCCGGTCCCCGCCGCCGCCGCCGCCGGCGCCAGCGCCCGCGCCCACGCCCACGCCGCCCACGCCGCGTCGCCTGCCGGCCTGAGAGCGGGACCATGGATGAAAGGTTCAACAAGTGGCTGCTGACGCCCGTGCTCACTCTCCTCTTCGTGGTCATCATGTACCAGTACGTGTCCCCCTCGTGCACCAGCTCCTGCGCCAACTTCGGGGAGCAGCAGCGGCCGCAGCCCCGCGCGGGGGACGCCGGCCCGCCCGTCGCCGCCGCGGTCGCCCCGGCTCCGGCCGCCCGCCGGGCCCCGGCGCCGCAGCTGCCCCCGCCGCCCCGGGGACCCCCGCCCGCGGGCGCCCGGGCCGCCCCCGACGACGAGGACGAGGAGCCCGGGGAGCCCGAGGCGGCCGTGGCGCCGGACGAGGTGGAGGGCGAGGTGGAGGAGGAGGAGGAGGAGGAGGAAGAGGAGAGAGAGGAAGAGGAGGAGGAGGAGGAGGAGGTGGTGGAGGAGGAGGAGCGGGACCCCGAGGCCCCCGAGAACGGCTCGCTGCCCCGCTTCGTGCCGCGCTTTAACTTCACCCTCAAGGACCTGACCCGCTTCGTGGATTTCAACATCAAGGGGCGCGACGTGATCGTGTTCCTGCACATCCAGAAGACGGGCGGCACCACGTTCGGCCGGCACCTGGTCAAGAACATCCGGCTGGAGCAGCCGTGCAGCTGCAAGGCCGGCCAGAAGAAGTGCACCTGCCACCGGCCCGGCAAGAAGGAGACGTGGCTCTTCTCCCGCTTCTCCACCGGCTGGAGCTGCGGGCTGCACGCCGACTGGACGGAGCTCACCAACTGCGTGCCGGCCATCATGGAGAAGAAGGACTGTCCCCGCAACCACAGCCACACCAGGTACCGTCCCGGATGGGCCCGCCTCGCCCTTCCTACCCGGGTGTGTGTGTGTGTGTGTGTGGGGGGGGGGTGGTTCCCGTGGCGCGCCGAGACAGAGCTTGGGGTGTGTGTGTGTGTGTGTGTGTGATTATGCACCCCTGGGCGCCTGGGCAGTGTCCAGCTCTAGAACTTGCTCCTCCCCTCTCCCCGCCTCACTCTCCTGTGCAAGTTTCACCTTCCGAGGGGTCCGGAGCCTCCCCAGGGGGCCCTTCTCTCTGTGTGTGTGTGTGTGTGTGCGCGCGCGCGTGCGAATGTATGCTTGGGTGCATCCAGGCGTCCTGCAAATTGCAATCTTGGAACCCAAGTTGTGTGCAAGCAGACAACCCCCCCCGCAGCCCGCAGCCGGCCGGGTAGGGAGGCAGGAGTTTGCTGCAGGCACAGCGAACTGGCGGGGCGTTTCGGTTCTCTTGCTAAGTGGCCGTGTGGTGGCCAGATCCGGAAATGTTCTCTTCTTGATGTCACTTTGAAGACACGCGTTCAGACGCCTGCTCTGTCCCAGGTAATCCTCGTTCTGGACAGGGCTTTTGCTGTTGAGTGCACTGCCAGGAGTTGCACCCCCTGCATTTGCCAGCCTGATTAACCACTCTTCCCAGGAAGACCCACCCAGTCGTTCTGGGAATTTTTTTTTTTCTTTTTCATTGCGTGCCTGGCAGTGTGCTAAGTGCTCAGTAGATACAGAAAGACACTAAGCAAAGCAAATCCTTTCTGTTCAGGCTAGAATAGCACCCGCTTTCCTTAAGTAATAATGCTGCTGAGAATTAGGAAAGTTTGCAATCTTAATAGCCAATGAAAGTGCTTACATTATTCACATCCTTAGAGAGAGGCATGGATTTAAGAATTTGGTTGAATGTTCTTTCTGCCCATTGCAATTTGAAGATTAATCTGACACGCTTGCTCAGGGGACTAAAATATTAAAAGCTCGGAACACTAGTTTATTGAAGTTTTTATCTCAAAGGCTTCAAACAATTTGGTGTCAGGAAATAGGAATTTAAAAACTCAAACTCAATATGTTGATATCAGATAGCGTTTGCATTTGACATTATGGGAAAAGCTTCATTTACTGGAAGCGACCCAGCTTCGGGAATTCACCACCACTGAAGCATCTAATTCTACTTCATTTCTCCAAGAATGAGCAAAATTTCATTATAGGATTTTTTACTCGGGCAGTTTTTCAAATACTTTCTCTTTCCTTTCATTTCCTATTTAATGGAAATTGCTTAGAATAAGAAACCATTGGACTTGGAATGAAGGCGTTGGTATAGTTTAAAGACCTTCCTTCCTGGGTATAATTCCAGGACATATTTTTTACTCTGAGAGCTTTATAACTGTGCAGTATTTTAGAGTGTCCCATTCTATTTGAACTTAAAATAGTTGAAAACAAAATTGCTTTCAAACTTGTTAACATATAGACTATTATTTCAGAGAAAGACAGTATCTGCTACATTTCACCCAGTGTTGAATTTTCTGCAGTTAGCCCTCTGTGTATTTCTGAGTGACCCCTAAAGAGTTTGCTAGTCTGATTCTGAGATTCCCTTGCACTGAAATGAGATAGGCTGTTGATTATCAAATAGGATGATCTAAAGATCTAATGGGTCACTGCTAACCATTCCCAATGAAATGGCAGGGAAATGGCCTTCCCTATGTACTGTCTGCAGGGGAACTACCATCTCTATATACTGTCAATGCTGACACTACATACTAATAAAACTAGTGACCAGCTGAAGGTTTGGGATGAATTCAAGGAGAATGGAGCCTAAAAATTGGATTTTTGCCTAGTAAATAATGATGCTCTTGCTGCACACCCTGCACAGATTAGATTAGACCTCTACTCCAGGAACTACTGCTTCAGGAAGTACTCCAGGAAATACTGTCTCTGCTCCATAAAGCAGACCAATCTCCTTGTATTTTTGAACATGTAGGTTCTATTGCAGAAAAGTCTCTCTTTGATTCGTCATGTCCTTGAATATTCATTGCATCACCAATTGTCTGATGACCACTATGTGCAAATTTGCTTTTTTTTGGGGGGGGGGGTAAGAGGATGAAGTGAATTGTTCTTTGGCGCTTTTTAAAAAAATTGTTTTGGTATGACTTTTTATAGTTCTCTCCTCTTCCTTCTCCTCATCTCTATTCTTTCCAGCATTTTCAATTACTTTTCTTTTGTAGATGCTATGGGAAGGCATAGTTGGGGTTGGTGTGAAGTTGCTCAGCCTCCAAAGCTCTAGGGGGAAAGTTGAAGAGATGTTCACTTGCATTTTCTTCACAGGGAAGATTGAATTAGTTGTCTGTCATTGGACTGTCTGTGTACAGCGTTCTACAGTCAACTAGATTAGCCAGGATCATGGAAGGTGCATTTCCACAATGCAAAATGGCAGATAATCTATTGCTACATAATGGGAACAAAGTTCTATTTCACATAGGGCTTGCTCTGAGAAAAATTCAGAAGTAGATCATGTTGATTATAGTCCCTGTGTCCCTTTGCTTTGGCTGTCCCCAAATTAGCCCCTCTTCATTTTTACAGGGACCAGTGCCCCTGTGGAACATGTGATGGGTAAGAGGCAGGAGCAGGGACCAGAGGTGTTTGTGGAGCCAACAGTATCTTATTCTTCTGAATCTCAGGTCTTCACTTTTCTACTATAGATAATTAGTACTTCCCTCATAGAGATGTCCTGAGAACCCAAATGAGCAAATGCACGTGAAAATGAGGCATCTAAGCATATTATTCTATTTTGGTACATAGTACTCAGTATTTACTGTTTTTGGCATATTGAGTATGCCATGGATAGCTTGCCAGGCTCTGCCATGCGGGCGGGATACTCTCGGTAGCTTGCCGTGCTCTCCGAGAGGGATAGAGGCTTTTTGGGTGGCCTCTAATCATCCTTGCAGGTGTTCCCATGGTTCAGATTTTAACCCCATCAAATATGGTGCAGTAATTATGAAAAATGGGCATTAAGTGTCTTATGATGTGTCCGGAAAGTGGCCTGGAGTGTGGCTGCAGCTGGGTAGTGGAGGAAGTGGAGGTCGGCCGATGAGTTATTTATCTGGCTCTTGGCAGGGTGGGTCTTCTGGGTGTGATCCTTGGGTCGCCAGAGATTGGTAGAAGCATGCAGAGGATCTCTGTGTCCAAGTCCCGTTGAGCCTGGAGTCCAAGGTCACAAAGTTCTGCTTTACCTGGTTCTGTGGAGTTTCACTCATGTGTGAGGCTCAGCCTGAGTGGTCCAGAAAGCAGCGTGGTAGCGGCTGGGTAGTGGAGGTGATCAAATGATCAAGTACTCAGTAGTTAAGGGGCAGATATAGAATAATATTTGGGTATTAATTACTGCAACAGTATTTTAACCTAAGCAAGATATTCTTTTACAGAGGGACCTGAGATCATTTCCTTACAGGAGCGTAGTGTGAATGGGTCATTTTAGTGAATGGAGATGCCATTTTCCTATCATGTGTGTTGAGAGAAAATCTGAAATTCCAGACTGAAGGAATGGAAGATGATGGGCATGTGGACAGTGATTCTTGCAAGGGCATGATGGCTAAGAGTGTTGGAGGATGCGCCGGGTGACTGGTTTTATATTCTGTGGTGACACACTAGCTTGGGAGTTTAGGAAATTCCCCTGGTGAAATTGGAAAGAGGCACCCAAAGATTGGAGAACCAGTAAAGACCCAAGGCAGAGGCTACGCGTTCCAGATCAGTAGGTGATGACTTTAGTCAGCAAGTGACCTTATACATGGAGCTTTCCTTGGATATTCACCAGATGATAGATTCCTGCCCCATCCTCATCTAATCTTGAGATTCTAGCTGGAGACTTTCAACTGGGTTCAGTCTTCTGCAAGTCAGATGGTGTCTGCGACACACTAGCTTCCTTATGAGGCCTTATTCTGGAATTGGTTTCTAGTGAGGGGCAATGAATGGCATTCTCTTCCAAGGGTCCGGAAGAGGGAAGGATACTTCAGCCGCCCAGGTCCAGCACACAATTCAGTCGATGTCAAGAGATTCTCAACAGACTCCTCCAATGTGATAAGAAAAAAAAATAATCTGGAATTGTAAGAGGGGAGGTGTCCGAAGGCAGAAGGGGAAAGCATGCATCGTGGAGTGGAAGAGGCTTTGATCACATGAGGCCATGAAGGAATAAGATTACGTGGCTGGCCATTTCTGACAACAAAATATGGGCTGGAGTGATACTGCAGTGGCAAGAGTGTCTGCCTTGCACATGACCGACTCAGGTTCAATTCCCGGCATCCTTATGGTCCCTTGAGCATGGATGCCAGGAATAATTCTTGAGTTCAGAGCCAGGAGTTTTCCCTGAGCATCACTGGGTGTGATCACCAAAGAGGAAAAAAAAAACCCCAAGAACTAACAACAAAATTAGTATTCTTATTCTAATCTATTAGATTAGAATCTAATCTTATTCTAACCTAATAGGAAGATGATGCATCTGAATATATTTAGATGCATATATTTTAATATATTCTATCCTGTTTTCTAAATCTTTTGCTCTCATTATTTCCTCAGTAGTTATTCATTCTTTTTTTTTCTTTATGTTCTTTCTTACCACAGATTTCCTACCTCATTCTATGAATCCAGGTCATTAGAAGACCAGTCTTTATCAATATTGCAAATGAATAAAATTTTAGTTCAGATTCTCCAATTTATGGATGCCATTTCCAATTCCACCAGCGAATTCCCTAGACTCTTGAACTAAAAATAAAACCTGACCAGTCTAGTTGTATCACGTATAGGGCAGTTTGGTAACCTAGTCAGAAAGAGGTAAAGTGATTGCCTAGATTTTCCTCAGGGAACCTATGTATTGATGGTGGTAATTAACTTTCCAAGGTTTTGTTGACTGTTCTCTTTAGTATCAAAAACACAATGGCATGTGTCACAGGAACCTATGTGTAAGATATAATGATAAGTCCAGAAATAGAGTTTGAAACACATTGTGTCAGCCCAATGGAGCTTAGGTTACAGG